ATTATATACATTTAAAATATTTTAATATCTTTCCCCTTAGAATAAACAAAAATTAATTTCTGCCACCTACACTAAAAATTACTACAAAAAAAAAACAAGTTTGATGAGTCAAAAACTAAGTGAAAAGAAGCTCCAGAGTTCTTGTTGAAGACTACAGACCCAGCTTTCCTGCATCTAAAAATTATTTGATTGTGAATTCTTTTAGTGAATGCCAGTGTATTTGACACAGATTATGTCGGAGTACTAGTGGGTAATTTACAATATTTCCAATGTAAAAACTTTCTTTTCTGCTAGGAAAATACTAAAATTTCTAAGTAGAAAATGAAACCACTCTAAAACTTCACCTTTTCTTAAATATTCCCAGACTTTATATGTCATTTAAAAAAATGCTTACTTCATATCACTGGGGAAAAAATGTGGTAAATTATTCTAAATCCATTAAATACAGGTATTTGCCTATGTGGGTAGAAACAGAAACGTTACAGCAGTGTTCTTCCTATAATGAACAAAAAGGTGCTTTTTTAGTTGTTTCCTTCTCTGAGGAAAATGGTGGAAGAACTACAAGGCATATCAGAATATCAATGTATTCAGATTCCTGTTGTTCTCCATACAAATATTATCCAAACAGAAAATCCATATATTCATAGTCTAAAACACACATTTTACTCCTGTTCAGTTCTTGGCACATCTGAGCAGGTTCTTGCATAATTTTCCAGAATGAATAAATCTCTGTGTTTAGGATGTTGCTAGGATGAAAAATCTCAGTTTTGGCTGCTGTCTGTTGTGCTCTGAGATAGCAGAACCTCTGTGCTACACGAAAAGACATTCATTAAAATGACAAACACAAGCAAACAGTCTCTACCAGCTGATGAAATGCTACACGGTGATGATGGTGGTGATTTACCTATGGTGAAATTAATCTTCCCTAGAATGTCTAATGATTTCTAATACTAATCTAATACAGTTTTTTTTATCATACCAAATTGAACACATATTTCTACTTGAGTGGTTTGGTTACAGCATCCATTATTGTACATTGTAAAACTAAAGATGAGAAGGGTTTTTTAGAGAGCAGAATGTGAACAAACTCCAGACTGAGAAATACTTAAGGGTTTCACAGCAATGACAGCAGCCTCCAGAACTGTTTGGTGTCTGTCTTTCAAAGGTTTACTATAAGTAAGTTATCAATGCCTTTACTGCTTCTGAATATGCTTTCTGGGGTAATGCTGGAGGAAGCTGAGATACTCTACTCCTGGCTGAAGGATTGGGAATGAATATTAAACAAGTTTGTCGAAGCTTGTTAAGACCAGGTATCAGATCTCAGGATTTTCAATCTTAACAGTGTTTCCTGCAGTAGTTTTCATGGACTTGCTCTCACGGAAAAGAGAGGCCAACACCAGTACTTTTAATAGCTCAAACAGCAGCTTCAAATGTGCATGACAGGAAGATTAAAAACTTGCTGAAGGAAAATATCATAGTACCACAGCTCTCTGGACTGTCACATCTCCAAAAGTCAGGTGCTCATAGCCTGCAATAAATAGCTGCAATAACAACATTGCACATCTTCATTTGTACCAACCCCAACTAATATTAATACAAAACTGAGCAGTTACTAGACCTGTACTAGCCTAGATAGGAACAGCAGTTTGATCCTGTATCACTGCAAGCTCTCTCCAATTCGTAATGATGCCATCAGGCTTCAAGAGCAAGGTTTTTGCATAGCCCATAGAGTCTGATAATTAGCCCATAATTTCTGGTGTGTGACTACAAAAAAGGCTGCATTTGCAATAGTCAGCAAACTTCCCTTCAGTTTTTTACCCTATCTATGCTTGTTATTTCCAGAATCTTTAATTAAATTTTGTACCACCACAAAAATATTCAAAATAATCTCTTTGAGTGGTTGTCCCTCACCAATAGTTCATTTAAAACAAGCTAATATCACTTTGAAAACAAATAAGTGAGCTGAGCAAGTTCCTGGTTTAGAAGTCACTTCCAGTGATGCACTAGTGGAGTGTGGTGAATATGCTAGATTTCCCAAATTCAGCAGAGGCTATCTCTTAAGCAGAAGCCTACCCCATCTTTCTGATCCTCAACCAATTACAAGTATTAGTATGCAGAAAATGGACATATTCATACAGGTTGCATATATTCTGGAAAATACCATGTGTATAGAAGGAAGGATCATCTGCTCATTCTAAGGTCTTGCACTACACACTGAGGTACACGATACCTACCAGTCAGACCAAAAGCAATCAGCCAGCTCAAATCAATATGCAAATATGTTCCTCCCCAAAGAAAGAAAGAAAGAAAGAAAGAAAAAGATAGTTTACTTTTTCTTGTGTTATAATTCCCTAAGAATAAAAAGTTGAATCTTGCCCTATACTTGCCCAGTACATACAGTGTGTTTACTGTGTACAGAGACGGAAACATTCTTTCCTTGAGACCCTGTTCGTAATCTATCCTTTGAAGAGGTTGATTTAAACATGTGTTAGTGTATGAATAAGGAGAAAGAAAATCAAATGAGACAGATTTCTATTTTTTTTAGCTCTATGCCTTGCTTTCTTGTATGGCTTCATTAATATTGCAGGCAGAGTTTTCTAGATTGCTTACAGATTTAATATTTATTTTTTCAAAGTTCTACTAGCTTATTAAAAGTAAAGGAGAAAACAAAAAATTGCCACAGTATTGCTGCAACTAGGAGATAAGTTTTGACTGATAATCAGAAGTGATCATCTTAATTTAATTAGGCTTTCCATTAGTTCCATGAAAACTGATTTTTTAGTCTGTTTTTATTTGTTATCATGTATCTCTCCTTCCCTTTAAGATACTATGTAGCTTTTTTATTAATCTCACTTGACCTTTTTGTCTCTTAAAATATCTTATTTTAAGGTTTAATTATTTGTAGATTTTACATCTTGATGAGAATTATACCTGCACAGTTTTTTATTATATATATTTGCATAAAGTCTGTAGGTTTTAAACAAAAAAAAAATCTTTTAACTTTTGTAGAAACTGTCAATATCACACTTTTCTGGCTTTCATGTGGAGAGCCTGCAGTTCAAATAGTAAATAAATTTAGTTTTCTTTTTAACGTAATTAAAACATGCATCTTAATAAAAGTTGCAAAGAGAGCTAAGGTGATTTCTGTGTTTGTACTTGTTCCATTGTAATGAATGGAGTGTATTTCAAGTAAAGAAATTACATTTTGAGACACAGGATATTAATATATTTCTTCTTGAAACAAACTGAAATGCTCAAAGTCATCTTGACAGGGTCTAAGGAAAAATGAGAATTACAGATACAGATTGTTACTTATACGGTGCATGTGTCTGTACATGTATGTATATGCATGTGTATTGTATGTACAATATTTTGGACTTTAAAAGAAAACCCTTTCATTACCAGTGGCCATAACCATATTGTTGCTCATGGGAGTATTCAGAGACAAACAAGAGGCAGTGAAAAATATTTTAAAGAAATGAAGTGATTGAAGCGATAGAATGTATTTCACCCTGATTTTATGAAATAATACCTCTTTTCGCTCTCTTTTACTGAAGAACATAAACCAAAAAGTACCATGAATACTGCTCAAGTCTCATGGAAAAGTATATTTTGTCAAACAAAACTGGCAACTGTGTTGAGACAGCAATTTTAGACTTCTCTAAGGCTTTTGCAATTCTGTCACATGGCATTTTTAATTTTCTATAATGCAAGATTTTTAATCAAGAGGAAACACATTAGATGAATTAAAAAAGGTCTTATTGGCAGATATCAATGAGCAGGTCTGTCCAATGAAGGTCTCCTGAGAGAGATTCCTGGTCCAACACTATTCAGTACATTCTTAGAAACAATCTAGATGATGAAATAAAATCTTAACTGATTAAATTTGCATATGACACAAAGATTAATGGGATACTAAAAAAAAAGGAGGGCAGTTTACTGTTAGAATTTAATCTAAATCACTTGGTCAGATTGTCAGAATCCAACAAAATGCAGGTACAAACTAATATATTTTGCAACAAGATCCATGGGTTATACTATTAGCTGAGAAGTCTTGTCCATAGAAAATAGTAACATAAAATATTTGGAGGTCACCTTTTAAGGCTGCTTCACCATGAGCTCACAGAGCAATGTTGTGGCAGGCATTATTGGAATAAAGGCTCCTGAGCAAAATTTAACAACTTTAATCTTAAGCAAAATATAATCATGATAACTAATAAAGGAATAGCTCTGAAAGGATGGTAAGGGAACAAATGAACATTTGTGGCAAGATGTAAAATATGTAAATATGTATATGTAAAGTATATAGTTTCAGAATAATTTTACTGTTTCTAAAATAGTCTGTTTATTCAAAAATAGTTTGTTTATTTAGTTATGATTATGATCTCTAGCAGCCTTTAGTCAATTAATCACTGTGAAAAATTCACTGGAATCAACCATTTATAGCCTTTTCCCTCTTTCATGGCTAAAGATATCTTTTTACTCATAACAAGCAAAGCTACATATATATTTGACATACAAAATATATGATAGATGTTGTACCAATCTATTTATGAGTGTGCATATATATGTATAGAGGTAAATTTTTATGCATGTTCATATGCCTACACATCTTTTTATTATTACATTTTTTTAAAATGCAATATTTCTATACATTTTAAGTCAGAAAAAATTTTATTTATATGTTCTAATACACAAACTGCAAATAGATGTCTTTTTTTCTTTAAGCAGATGATAGAATCTAGAACTAATTTCAGAGAGAACCACAAGTGATGAATTAAACGTCTTGTGAAACTTCAAGTCCCGTTTTTCATGTAGTATGTAGACAATTAAAATTAACAAACTTCTGTATTAAACCTGCTCTACTGACTTCACCATAGTTCTGTGGTTTCACAGTCAATAATAAAACCAAATTTGTTTCTTCAAAGTGAAATACCAGCAAAAAACATACCATTTTAAAATTAACATGAAAAATCTCTGACTTGTTCTGCTCCTTTTAGGACCTTTTTGATGATGCAAAAAATCACCCTGTGGAATCTATGTCCCTTCCAGAAGCAATGCCTGGGAAGTGAATGCAGGATTTAAGCTGCAAGATGGGAAAGAGAGAAGGAGATGTCATTCCACCCAATTTTATTATGTTATATCAGTGTTTATATCAGAAAACCCACCAAGGAACTTTCCATGTCAGAGCCTAATGTGTGATGCATTGAGATTTATTATAATAAAGCAGTAGAAATAAGCAGCAGAAATCTGTGAAGCAGAACTTAGGAATTTACCAGCAATAATTGCTATCCACCTCTAGTATGTGCCACACTGTATTTAAACTACGTGTGCTATGTATTACAGACTGCTATTAATTAAAAGAATATTTTACATTTAATTTTGTACATCTTGTTACCACTTCTATTTTGGTTTAAGTGGGGGAGACTGGGTATTTGATTTTTATTTTCTCTGAGCACAGTCTTTGAATATGTGATTGAGAACAACTATGTAACATATGTTAATGAATTAATGAATTAATATATAATTTTACTTTCAAGAGTTTGACCAAAAATTTATATTTATGCCATGTGAGTGAAAAAACATTCAACAAAAAATTATCACTCAAAAAGGTGAAAGCTCTAGGGTTTTGTTTGAAAAACTTGTTTATTCAGAAAAAAGTATTATAAAAATTTTTTCTCTGGATATTGTGAATATGTGTAAGCAAGGACCTGATGTCTCAGTTTAACCTCAAGTTTCAGTTTGTGTGTCAGACAAATCTATAATAAATAACATAAACTGCCAGGTTTACATTTCATCCACTTATGAGATTATTTTTTCTCTGGAAGGGTAGATGGGTAAATCAGATTAAAACCATACCTGACTGTCATCCAGTAAACCCACTCTTCCAGTTATGTAGTTCATTTTTCTCTTACCTCTTTGAATGAGTTTCAATGTCTAATAAAACTTTATTTACTGGGAGTGCCAAGAATTGAGTCAATAAATTTATTGAGCAAGATATGAAATAGAAATGTCAAAGATGAATAAATTTTAGCACAGTGTTTACTTTATAATTGCATTTTTTTCATGGAATTCAATTTCTCTGTAGACTCTGAAGCATAACAACAGCAGAAAATGAAGTCACAGTACCCAAGATGAGAAAATGTAAAATAGTAAACTTCTTTTTTAGAGCAATAACTGAAAACATTATCAATGTTGTGAGTATTTAATAAAATACAGCATTTTATGTATTACAGTCTAAATTCTAGTCTGTTCACCTCCATCTGTACTTTTCTGGGAGAACTTTGTTTCTTTATTTTAATTTTTATACCTAAATAATAATCTGGAATAGTCAGCTTGTCCCTGTATGACCTGAGTTTCTGTGGTACTTTTCATTTGTATTATACCATAGGCAGTAAGAGCCAAAACAGGAACATAAAGCTTTTAGCCCAAGCTACAAACAAAAGCATGTTTTATATTCTGCCATGAGAACTTTAATAGAATTATTCAATTCTTGGCGATTCCAAAAAAACAATGGCTTCTGGGATACAAACTGATGTATTTTTAATCCCTATTTTAACCACAAAACCTCCTACTTCATTCAATAGAAACAAATTATCAATTCAATTCTTCTCATGAGAGCTGTGGCACGTTCCTTCATCAGACTTGCTATATCACAACCTGGGATTCTGCTGCATACATACTGACCACTACACAGAGCCGAGCCCATGCTTTTCCAGACAGCTTGGATTCACATAGACAAGTCTCAAAATTTTCTTGGACAGCAGGAAGGATATGTATGAACCTTTATCACCAGTGTCTGCAATACAGCTGCTGTCATTATAGTGAGGTCTACACAGATTTGAGTTAGCAGCCAAGCAAACCTGTCAAATGTAATGTTTGAGTCCGCAGCCTTCACTGGACTTTGATGTTCTGAGGACGCAAGTCATCTAGCTAAAAATTAGTAGAGGTTTTGCATTACACAAATCATGGTGACAGCTACAGAGTAGACACACGATTTGTTACTGCTCAGTGCTTTTTACAGTCATAAGTCTCAGCAATCCCCATTACAGTGCCCACATATTAAGAACAAGTTAGGATTAATGAATTCTCAGCTGAAGAAAAAAAAGTCTCAGCCTCAAAACGATAACTGTTTGATAGCTTGTAAACAGAAAATATTGAAACTACATTATCTAACCCTCCAGCTCTTTTTGTTTCTTTGGTCCAAAAATATAGAATATTAGAAAATGCAATAACAGTATTTACACTTCTTTCCTACAGGCTCAATGAAATTCTGTTCTTGACTGAGATTTGTAAGGGCAATAATTACAACATTGTAGCTCACAAAAATATTTAGGCAAAGATTTTAAATCGGCACACATAAAACAAAAGGAAGAATGCAACATTTTTAGCTGAGATTCAAATACACCTACAGAGTTTATATATAGATTCAGTACTGTGTTATCACTGACCAGCCTTATGATGTTTTGCTAATCAGAATGAAGCCCATTTAGAAACAACATAAAAATAAACAAATAAATAATGAAGCTAACAGTTTAATTTTCAATTGCTTTAACAAAGAGAAGCATACCTCCTTTGAAGAATGAGGAAAAAATGTGGAATTTTTACGAAAGGCTTCTTAAAGTAGACCAAAAAATACAGGACTTATTTTACGTGAATGTATGGTACAACAGAAGTACTGAGACAAAATTAATGAAAACCACTGAGTAGTGTAAATTTTAAATGGCTACAAAGGTATATTAGGAACCACCTTTGCTGCTGCTCACATGGACCTATCAAATGCTAAAATATTTCAGCTGAAAGCACTGCACAAAACTGGTGAGATCCTTATCCAAATAGGAGGGTTTGTCTGTCAACTATCTGGATTCTGTCTTGGTTTCATGGAATGTGAAGATATAAACAAACTTTAATAATTTGCCAGAAATTTATGACCTGCTTATTATGACAGTTTTTTGCTAATATTTTTTCTTTAATGGATAAATAGTCTTTTTTTTTAAAGTGCTTTAACTCTATTCTTAAATTTTTATTAACAATATAATAGTATGTTATCTGATATGAATTGCTTACAGACTATTTGCTCTTTGTGATTAACTGTTTCTGAACTGAGAGCAGCTTTATTATAGTTAGACTTAATCTCCTCTTGATCTAATTTACCACATGTTCTACAGTACTATGATCTTAAATCTTGGGTTCATTTGCAGTTTAATAATATTAGAATAATAACTTCAGATAAAAAATACTGCTTCAGGCTTAGCCCCATATTGACCCTTTTACAGTCAGTATTTACACATTTCAAGAATATTTTTGTATTAATAAAATATTCAGTTTTAAAAGTCAGTTACAGGGATGTAATCTCGCATTAAAAATTTTATTCCTCTTGAATACAGGGAAAACAAACAGCAGTGCTATCTTGCTCAAAAATCCACACCTATGATTTCATCATCAATTTGGTCTCAAATATTTTTCTTTCTGATTCCTCTAATGATTATGTTCACAAATCCATCTCCAGGATATATGCCGTACAAAAAAATCTTATGTTAATAGCCAGAGAAATTTCTAGTCCACAGTTTTTGCTCCTAGTCAGCTCTGGGCAATGGTCACCTCTGATAATCTTTTCTGGTGGCTTTTGTCTTCTGTTCACTTATGCTGAGAGGCTTAAAAACATGATAAAGAATTTTTATTTATTTTACTTCTGCTGTGCTGTTGCTACCAAATACGAAGGATAAATTCCATGTAGGAAAACATCACATTCTAAAATGGGATTGGGGATTATTTTAGGTGATGGTGGTGGATAAAGTGTTGAAGGATTTGAATGCTCGTTTTGTTAGGCATGGCATGCTTTAAAAGCCTCGTAATTTAAATTTTAGTTCACACTCCATTTCTGGAAATCGTAACACTTCAACATTCAAAAGTATTGAAGATAAGACAGGTATTTTAGTATAAGGACATTACTATTATTAAATTCATGCTACTAGAACTCATGAAATCATGGTTTTGTAATCACATACAGCTGTTAGTAGCCTGGTTATTTTTACTTGCATTTGACTAGGCAGACTATCTCTTGGGTGCAATTTCCCTACTTAGCTCTGTGAAATGTTAGAACAAAAGAATACCAATTTCATAGTAGAATTGCAGCAAAAGTATTTAATTTTTCTATAGAAATCTGTATTAGGTCAGAAACAATATTTGTGATGGTTGATTTTTAATAGTTTAAAATAAAAATTTAAAATAAACAAGGTCATTTGAGCATCTCATTTTTGCACTCTGAAGAGCTTTTTAATAACTTTCTGACTGTTCAACCTATAATAACAATAATAAATTATCTCTAAATTAGATATTTGCTGGCTGATTAATAAATGCTGAACTTTTTGTGGGTATGTGACACTGTTATGCATCCATGAAAGGAAAAATAGCATTTGGAACTAGATAATTAAAACAGTCGCATTTCCAGGCAAATGTTATGTTCCAATGTAAATTAATCTTCTGCTACAGCAAATTACCAAAATTGTTCTAGGCACTTTAATGAAAACAGAGTGTTAGCAGGCAAATATAGAGTCCCCTAAAAATCCAGTTCCCAAAATGTGTAGTTACTGGTGAAAAAACACTGGGAATAAAAAGTATTAAATTATTCTTTCTAAACTATGAAAGCCCCTTTTTTGAGATAGGAAGCTCAGCGGTGAGTTTTCACCAAAGTAATAAAGCCATTTCTCTAATTTTATTGAGTCTGTTTTTACCTTTTCATCAACAGGTGTGCAACATGGGAAGTTATTTGGAACATGAAAGGCATTAGCTCTCTTGGTTTTGTTGCCTTATCCACTGCAAGTATAGGAGCCTGGATTCAATTTGATCCTTTCTGATGCTGACAGATTAGTATAGCTCTTGTGTTCTGTTAGGTTCTCTCAAGTTCATCTCTTGAAATTTCTTTTCTGAAAGCCCTGAGAACAAGATGAGGAACTAGATTCATTGTAGTCCAATAAAAAACATAGTAATTTCAATTCTCTGCATTTGAAAATGCATGAGAAATCTATCTTTGATTATTAGGCAATATCCTGAAAGGTAGACTTTCCAATCTACTTGTAATTGGATAAAAGCAGTATTACAAAGCCACTTGAAACACAGGTAATTTCTCCAACAGCTGAAATACAGGAACTGACTTAAGAAGTATGGATTTCCACCTTGCTGTGGTTTGTATGGTTGAGTTAAATATGTGTGTTCAGAAAAAAAAATGTATATGGAAGTTTTAAAGGTTTTTTTCAGCCTGCTAGAATTGAACAGCCTTCAGTATTTGTAAGGTAATGACCAGAAATATAATAATTTACTAATGAGGTTTTAGGTATTAAAGAAACTTAGGAATCTATAAGATTAGGGACTTTGGGGGATCTATGTTAATGTTTTATTTCAGATTGAGAGTGTGTTTTGAAGATAATCTTTCCATTTTACCCTCTTGCTAGCCTCTAGTTTACGTTCTGACTGCAGAAATTACACTTGAGTACATATCACTGGGAGACTCATTCCACTTGCTGAAACATAGCAGCAGACTGAAGTAAACCCCACAAAATTAGTAGCTTGTTGTTGTTAGGTCCTCAACACCAACCATTTCACAATACAGATCTACTCCCACACTACCACACTAACTGTGATCATTTCTGGGATCTTAGTTTTGGACGGTTACAACTTCACAGTTGCCTGTCTCAAACACTGTTAAGACCACAAGACTTTGCCATGAGATAAGCACAGGGAGGTGCAGCAGGATGGCAGCAGTTCCAGGCCTGGGGAGGTCTGGCTGGCACATCCTGGCTAATGCATCCAGGCAAGAGCTCCCACTGTGGCAAATTGCGTGGAGGGACTACTGCCCATACAAGCACCAAGCATCCTGGTCAAAAAAAGCTCCCCATGTTATGGGTCAAATGGCATCTGTGGCCTCTCATGTCCCCACCTCCCTCTCCTCCACTCTGAATATGCTTCAGTGGATTCCTGGAATTTGGATTGTATTTGTCCAAATTTGTATCTGATGGGAATTTAAGATAAAGGTGGTACTATTATCCAGGTGTTATCTCAGACCTAGGGAGAGGTAAAGAAAGCTGGGGGTAGGGCACTGAAAATGGACACAAAGAATCCACAAAAAAAGCCAACTCAGCAGCTGTGCTGAAATCAGGTCTGATGGAATGAAAGATAATTCCAGCAGAGGATTAATTCCCGCATGGGAGGAATTTCACCACAGTCCACTGACTCAAAGAAACCCACCAACTCAAAAGAGAAAGAGAAGCATGGGATTAATTAACATTAGAAGTGAGAGAATAATTTAACCAATAGAATAAGAGAACTGTGCAGCCAAAGAGCATTAATTCCTTTGTTTGATAGCATGTATAAATAATGAAATGCTCTGAACAACTTTGGGACCCTCACCATCAAAAAGCTTAACATAAAGAAGGACAAATTGGATGTCACTGGATGTATGGGTGGTGACTATCTTCTGCTTAATTTGTCTCTCTCCCTCCCTGCCCCCCTTTCTATTTCTTTCTGTCTCTCTACCTTGAGTTTTACTGTTAAATAAAATCTGTACTATTGATTTTGGCATATGGTCTTGTTTGCACTTTAATTTGGGTAGACGAATTTTGAAATATCAGGTCTTATGTTCACAGAATGTAAAGGATCCCTGGATTTTAGAAGAGAAGTTTTCAGCCTATTCAGAGATATACTTGAAAGAGTCCAGGAGAGCACGTTGATACCCAAGGATCATCCCCTGAAAACTCAGAATAGTTCATTCCAAGAAGTAGGAAATAAAGCAAAGGCAGCAGGGGGCCAGCATGGACAACGAGTTCTAACTGGACTTGGACGTTGAAAGGGAATGTACAGGAGGAGCAAGCAGTAACAGGCGATCCAGGAGGAATATAAAGCTGCAGTCTGATTATGCAGGGATGGGTTGGGAAATCAAAGGTCCACCTGGGACTGAATCTTGACAAGGGACATGAAGGGGCACAAAGAAGGATTCTACAACAATACAGATGGTAAAAGGGGAAGCTAATGTAAATGAGGAACCAATGCTGAAGAAGGCCAGGGTACTTGTGACAAAGCATGTGGAAAAGCTGGGTGCAAGTCCAGGAGGTAAGTCTGAAGTAAGGTTTATCTTCAGTGGAGGGGAGCAAAGCAGGGAGAACATAATCAATCTGCACATACATAAGTCCAAAGGCCTGATGTGTTGTACCCAAAAGTGCTGAAGTCTAACAGCATGTGAAGGGATAAGAGTTTTGAGATAAAAAAAAGAATAAGGAAAATACTAGTCACACTTGTTCTTCCAGAATTTAAATGTTGTCTTGAAGTTTTTGAACTCCTGAAGTTCAAATGAATGACAAACTGAGGATATCACTTAAGAAGCTAGAAGCCAAAAACAACTCCACAGACATTTGTGCTTACTTCATGGAAATGGAGGAAACTAATCCATACAAATGATCAAATCAGCTTGACCAGGAGAGGTAGGTAAAAAGCCTTTCTGAATTCTTATATCCACAGAAATGTGTAATATTCTAAGCTTGAAGACCTGAGCCAAGTTATTGCAAATCAATCAAGCTCTCACTTTTCTGTTATACTGATATCAGTTATATTGATATCAATATTGACTATATTTAGATTGCCATGAAAATAAAAAACAAACAAAAAAATTATATCCATTCCATTGATGGAGTTCAACAAATAATGTCATTTTACCATAAATGATTTTGAGATAAATACCAAAGCTCTTAGCTGCTTTACCTCTAAGAAAAACAACTTTGTTCCATGTTTAACATACATTTGGATGAAACAGAACTTTTTTCTACATTGGTTGAAGATGGCAAAGTGATTTTTCATTGTTAAAGCCAGGAAAGAGTATGAATTTTTGTTTGTTGGGTTTTATAAATAAAATTTCATTTAAGAAAATTTAAATATTTGAGAATTTAGTAGATTCCAGACAGCTACAATATATAGATTGTATATCTTTAATTTCAAAACTGGATTACAGTTAAATAACTTTTCTTCAGTAATTTTCCCATTCTGTATTGTTATATATTCAGCTACAGCTACCTGATAACACCTAAAATCCTTGAGTTATGTGGAATGGAACACCAAGTCTAAAGCCAATCTAAGCCATGCTTTTTGCATTTCAACATGTTTTCTAGTCAGTGTAACAAAAGCCGAAAACAGTACTCATTAGTATTCCTGCCTATTAAAGGTCATCATAAAACACAAGCATTACATTGCTAAATATAATATTGAATTTAACTGCTTTTTACATGGAAACATTAAGCCTAGTTAAGTTTTCTCTTATCACTTTTATTAATCTGTCATATATCTGCATATATCTCTGCCTGTTTGTGTGATGGTGTGCTCAGCCCCCCAACCTGACCTTTATATCACATGATTTTACTCAATTGATAATCAGCAGTGGCAGAAATGGATGTGTCTGCTCTGGTCATGATGGCTGCAACCAACTTGTAGTGGATTTGGGGGAGATAGATAAAAACACAGCAGCAAAGAGCTAATCTGAGCAATGTGCCTCCCCTAAATATGGTGCTCAGGTCAAGAACCCAGTCAAGCCAATCTGGGAAGAAACTAATTCTGTAGTTGGTATGCAAATGTAACTATGAAGCAATTATCTTAGCCCATAGATAATGGACAGTCCAGGGCCCACTGAGCTCTCCTGCCCAGCAGTGGGCTGCAGACCAGGATATCCCCTTGAATAGTGGTGCCTCTAAAGGTTATTCCTTGAGGCTGATAGATTTCTTCCCACAAGCGATTCTCATTAAATTCTCATGTTAAATTTTGAAATGTCAGCTAAGTGATATGAAGAATTTATTTTCCACACAGAATCCTTTAGATATAAACCATTGATCAAGCTCTGGAACCAAGTCTGAATCCAAATACACCTAAACTCCCCTTTGAGAAGGACAAACAAACGTTCAGAACACAAGGTGGCCCTTTCTGAACCTCATGACTCGAGAGGTCTCCCTGACAGTTTTGTTTAACCCAGTCCTCTGTGCAGTAAATAATTTAGTGTACTTTGCCATAGAATCTTGTTAAACCAGTGTTTCACTTGTCATCAAACTTTGTTAAATCACTATTTTGTATTAATAAATGTGTTGCTACTTCTATTTTGCAAGTGAAGTGTATCCCTTCATCTGTAAAAATTTGTCACATAACTTGTGTTTACATATAATATAGAGAAATATGTGAATAGGTAAATATTAA